AGGAAAACAATCCATCTCCGGTCAGTACAAAGTCGTCTGAAGTGTACTTTAAGTCACTTAACTTCCGTCTTCAGTCGTTACGATTACTCAAATCTTTCGCCCATCCTATGTTCGTGGGCGAAGGTAGTGCTGTGGCACAGAGCTATCACTCATGTAGTCCAATCAAATTCTACATCGAACCTACGAGTCGACCGAGCATCCCATCCGCTGTTGTAGCTATAATTGGTTCCGGATTCAGCGGGGATGGAGCCACTGACTTTTTACATCTGCTGAACCACTCAGGCCGTTCTAATGGTCCAAATTTTAGATTGTCCTGAATGGCTGTCGAATGCATGGCTCATCTTAGGGAAAGATCAAGACTGAGCCCTCAATGGGGCAAGTGTGCGAAGTTGTGGGGTCGCCCATTTCGAGAGCACTCGTGATTTCAACGTTACTAATTTTTGATCCTTTCATGATATGCCTATTCCGTATGTGCTCAAAACTTGGGATACGATTGTTTATACTCCTTATGTAACCCTGCAAAAATGGTGTAATGGTAGAGGGTTGTTATCACCTGCAAGGTATGTGGATCGATTTACGCTCAAAGCAGCTATGCCTCCTTCCAATTCTGGCTCCTTTGCTTAGTATGATCTTATTTGGGCCAGGGAAACTCAGACTCAAACAGCTTATCTTTAATTTATCCTTATAAAGGGTCTCGGCAACGTGAAATTTCCTTCAAAACTTGTCTGTTTTATTCTTTTATTCCTCTGCGATTTATCCGTCGTAGTACTTTTCACAACCAAACCTGAATAGGGTCAGTTCTAAACAACCGCTAATGATAAAGGTGTACGTGTTAGCTTATCTTTTATGAAGCCTTGCGAATGAGTGTATTTAATTATTAGTTCAGCTATCGTTAGGCATGATTTCTGGAAAAATATTCAGATTGTGTTCAGGTTCGAACTAAGCGAGCTTCCTTAGTGGAGAAGAGTCTCGGAGAGCTGGAGACGTTTCCTAAACAGCGTTTGGCACTTGCGAAACTCGAAGAGCACGCAAAAGTGTTCAAGAATACTCGTGTCTTCAGTTTCGAGATGCCAGGACATTCAGGTTTCATTCTATCGAACTGTAACGTCCACTGAGTCACAGTGAATGAGTTCAAGATTTCAGAAGGCGAGCGACGCTACCTCGTCAGTACATTGGAGCGTTTTTGGTCATGGTATAGTACGCTAAGCGAGCGTCACCTATACGAACTTATTGCCGAATCATCACCTTGTCGTCTTTACTTTGACCTCGAGTATTCCAAAGAAACTAATCCTGATATTGATCATGAGGTATGAGATTCTTGATGAGAGATCAACTGTGTTGCGAAGTTTGCTTTCGCTATTCAACCCTTGGATTTTCGGTGGCACACATGCATTGTGGTAACATCGCGACCTGTTCTACATCTCAAACATCGCTGTCTCACCATTTCTAAAAGCTTGATTGTCGTGGGAATGGTGGTCGATGTCCACCACAAACTTTAACGTCCCAAATTAAGAACGAGAAGCGTTTTATAAACATTTATAGGTCGATAATAGCATCCAGCACAACCTGGGAGTCGTTGTATGGATGCTATGACCGTTGCTATGGAATTCCATCTCTTAGGAAAAAGCGTATCAAAAGCGGTGCTGTTGGAAGAGGATGGGTCAGCCTAGTTATGTGGAAGGAGAGCGATCAAATTATCACCGAATCTCACGACAGACTGTTATACTCGCATCCAATAACTCATGAATAGATCCGAAATGTTTGCTGGGTCATGAAGTTGACTGGAAACCGTCAACGAATGAAATCAATTAGAGTTGTGTCAGGTAAGATAGTGCCAGACGCTACGCTTGACCATGTCATCTTAAAAATTTTAAAAACAAATCTGCCGGCGACAAACCTTAATCGGGAGGAGGGCTACTTTACTCTGTGGCACAGATCGTGAGGGGGTGGTTAAGAAGAGTTTTATGAAGCAAGGTATGGTGCCAGGTGTGAAACACACATGCACTCACAAAACATTGTCATTTCGGCCAACACTTTGACGACAGCCAAAGTTTTCTCCTAGAATATATCGTTCAATTGCATGAAGGCTCTTCAGTGAAATATCTTCAGCGTTCATAGCTCGAAGTTTCAGGTTGTTTACCGGCACTTTATGGAGACTGTTCAGCGCTTGTTGAAGAGCGAATTCGATCTCGATGTGGATCCTTTCAAGGTATTACACCATTGAAGCTGAAGCTGTTGCTCCTAATGTAATAATTTCAACATGTGTGTGCCACGGTTGTGTGCTACAAGTGCTTTAAAGTTCAACATTATCAGAAATTTGCCATGACTGATTTCGAAAGGTCATTAGGCCTCGGCAGGGGCTTCAAAACCAAAATAGGCTGAATACCATCAAAGTGTGAGGCTTTTTCCTGATATCACGCCATCCATACAACGATTACTAACCATAAGAGACCTGTGAATAGATAAGGAATTAATGCATTCGAGAATAGTCTGCAGGTTTCCGCTCATTATTCATGCGTGATATAAAAATTAGCAGAATTCGAGCCAACAGTTTCTGTATCAACTGTCCTGAAAAAAAGGAACTGTCCGGAAAACTGCACTTCTCTCTGTCCTCCATAATTCGCTACCTTGAGAGTCACACTCCACAAGGGAGGGGGGGAAGAGAAAACCAAAAAAAATTGCTTTCGTATAGACAAACCATTTAAAAAGCTAGAAGCGGTATTGAGCATTCGATTTTCCGCATCTTCCAATGCGTTTCTGGCTGCTCCAAAACGCACGTTTTCCCGTAGTTTTCCGGCTTATTTAGTGGAAACTGAATTTTCTCGCATGAGGCTTTGTATGTAGTTGTCAGTGTTTACAAGTGACTCGTTCATGTTGGGAGGGAAGAAGGCAAGTAACACAAACAGGGGAAGAGAGGGAGTCCCTGTTTTAAAGAACATTCATTATCGTGTTGTCATTGCTCTTTTTCGCCTTTTTATTCACTCGAGCAATCCGCGCATCCATTTGAATAGGATCGCTGGCGGCTCTACTCTCAAGTGATGAGATCTGGGGCGCTGTCACCGATCAAAGGTTCGTAAGAGGCGAGCTCGCTCCGCGACACTTGGAGACGCCGTGCAGCTCGCCGCTGTCATATTCCCAGCCCTCGTACAGGAGTAAGCAGGCGGACAAGTGTTTGAGTGTGCGCTCTTTGCGCTTGGAAAAGTCCGTCGACGAAGGGCGCAGGGAGCTGTCCAACCCTGCAAACTACACTTTCGTTCCGCCCCACCCTCCGCTTGTACGAACATTCAGGTGGGTGCTAACTTAGTTGGGGGGGGGGGGGGCCACGCGGCGGCGCGGCAGTCTGCTCACCTGGGCTCTCTCTAGCGAGACAGTGTAAACTCGAACATTCCAGCTTTTCACGCATGTCAAGTGACTGCCCCCACCCCACCAGAGTCAACCCTGCGTTGCGCAGTTCGCAACGGCACGTTGAGAGATCCTCAACGCACGCTGTATGGGCGGAGACGCAGACGGCTCGAGCATGCGAGTGTGAATGTTCGCGCGAGAGAACGTGTCTAATCGGGCGAAACTGCGCAACGCAGGGTTGACTCTGCCCCCACCCCCCAGACTGCCTACACTCCCCCTGGCCCACGGATTTCCGAACATGCCAGGCGAGCAGACTGCCGCGCCGCCGCGTGCCCCCCCCCCAACTAAGTTAGCACCCGTGGCGCTGCTTGAAAAGCGCGGGCGCATTTGAGGCAGCGGTCCCATCGCGATCCAATGTCATTGGCACTGGAGCAAGTAGAGTTAGGTTCGTGAAACTCGTCCAACGCGCCTCTTCTCTATCCCAAGGTGGAATGTGGCTGAAATAGGGGAGGTCTCTGTACGGGCGTAATCGGTGGTTTCGTTTGCTTTCCTTCTCTTTTACAGACCACCTCCCACCTATAGCTTCATAACTGAACGCTTTTCCACACCTATTTTATCCCGAATCTTGCCTTTAAGGAGGTCACCTTCGGTGAGCGGTACCTACTTAAATATCTATAACTCGGAAGGGAAAGATTATGAGAGAGTTCACAAAGCAGAAGAAAGCGTCATGGAAAAGTAATGTCCAGTGTACGAAGCACAGGTGAGGACGGAGTAGTAAGATGTGCTATCGTGGGTGGGCGTGCACCGATGTAGGCAGAGCTATATCTATACTCACAAACTGGTTCAAAAGCTGGAAAAACCTCTGATCAGTATTGCTGGATGCCCGTGTGACGCAGGCGGTAATGTTGGGAGCCACACTGGTAGCATATCCATCTTTTTCGATGAGTGAAGAATTACAGTCATGGTCCGTTGCGCAAATTGACTATCTATTCATGAAGTATTTTATAGAACTTTCTCGTGCTGGACAGCTCTACTGAGAGCAAATTCTCTGCCCACGTCGTGTGTCATCTCCCTAACGGCATTTTATTCCCATCGAACGTATGTTAGTGTTTTCTGTATTTAAATGTGCACTTTTATTCCATTTGCATTTAGCACCTCACAGTTTGCTTACTTCCTTACTTACAGACATCGATACGTCCGTTTTGTGCTCGTCTTTCTGAGAAACTTGTTAGACAGCCCACCAGTAAAAATATGGAATACCGATGCGACAAAGGTTCGCCATACTTGGACTTTTCTCAGTTACTTTGTCACTACCAAGTGAGATTCAGGAAACGGTCCTGTTTGACAGCGCAGTTTATAGCAAGAATA